ACTATCTAATTTCAAAAATTACCGTCGCGAGGGATACTGTAGCGTCCTACGGTATCGAATCTCTTCGATTTCCAAGAACGCTTATCACGCGCCAAATTAATATTGGGTGACTAGTTGTAATAATAAGGATCCAGAATGCGTGTGGTCAAAAGAGAGTGTTTATTTACAGAAAAGCGTAGAATAGTTATAACGTAGACGTTGAACGGAGTACCGTTTCGAACACCCGTTTGTATGTGTAATTAAGATGTTTCAAGGATCGGTGCCGAAGACGAACTGACTTCTCGATTTTGCTCTATGTCCTGTCTCGTCGTGTTCGGTCCGGTGTTTTCTCTAGTTTAGTTCTGATTGGGTAAAATAGACGTTGGCGGTGGAAAGGTAAAGAGTTTTAATTGGACAGAGGGTGTGACATAAGGACCTTCGGCTAAGGAGTAGGAAACTGTCAAGGAGCCGATTCCTGATGGTCAATGACGTGATTTATAAGTGCCGTCCGTCCGTCGCTTGTTGGGTCTGTCACAAGTAGGTCCCATCTGTCGCGTCTGGTACTAGTAAAATTCCTAATTTTGCTTTACCTTTATAAGCTTAATCCGCTAGAACGGCGTTGAGGCACATCTGACCTCCGGAATTGCAGTCGCGGTATAAAATATAAAATAAACCGTTAGATCTGTTAAAACTGTAAGCCTTAGAATAAAATTATGTTATAAACACGCTCTCCGGGACGGAACTGATACCACGAGGAACTATCAGGAGACATGTCATAACCCTAGGTCTGTTCCACGGTCTTCCGGTCACACTCCTGTCAGCTCGAACCGAAACCATAATTTACGATTCGATAATTCACGATAAGACACAGTTCTGGCAATAGCAATTCCGTGGCTGACACGGTGCAGGTGCAGCTGGTGAGAGAGCCGCGAGATCTGCCGGAGACCGGCGGAAAACGCGCGTGAACTCGGCCAGGCCCAAGCTTTCGTGTCAATGCCGTGGCAACGGACTCTAACGACGCTGTTCGTCGCGACGACGCCGTAGGATCGAATCGTAGTGAGTCAGCCGACTAATATTAGAAGGTGAGGAAGCTGCTCTGGCCCGGTCCCTCTCTCTCTCTCTTACTCTCTCTCTGCGGCCGTTCCAACGGCTAGCAGCGCCGCCACGAAGCGAAACTCCTCCCGGCCCCGTCGAGTCTTCGGGTTCGTTGTTTGGAATGAGTAAACGCCGTGGAATTCGACGCTCCGAGCGGCAACCGGCGCGCACAACCTGGGCCCGGGCTCTCAGCCTGCGGACAGGTGTAGCGCCAGCACCTGCTGCCTCCGTTCCGCGGCTCCTCTCGCTTTGGACCGCTCGCGCGCGATACAACTGTGGCAGACCGTTTCCACCGGAAGACCACGCTCCGACCCGCTTCCCGATGGACGTGCTCGTGGTCCCACGGAGCAATTCACGCCTGCCGCGATTTTTCTGTCCTATTCTGGGTTCTTTCTACGTTTAATTGAGAAATTTGAGTAGTTATTTAAGTATTTAGCGAGGAAAGTGAGTTATAATTTAGAATTATCCCTTTGCACTGAAGTGGTGACCGAGTGGTCATAGATTGAATATTAAATAACGAATACGGGTTAACCCTTTACGCTCGAGAGGCGCCCTTCAGTCGCCATTTGATAAAATTTCGAAGCTCAATATTCGTAAATATGTCAAATTTCAGATAATGTGACGGTGTGCGAGGTATCGAAATCAAATAATTCTTCGTGTTAATTATCATACGATTTCTTATTCACTGCTTAGAAAAATATTTGTAGCAGAAAATCTTTGAACTCCTATCCTTCTTTGGCCAAAAAATTGTCGAGTGCAAAGGGTTAATAAGTAGATTAGAAGCGATTTTCTTTATTTATTTTAGCATAAATGCTATCATCACCGAGCTTACAGGAATATTAAAAAAGCTTCGAATTATTATACTTCTATAACCAAAAAGTCTTGCAGGGTGAAGGGTGAAGGGTGAATTAACCGAATAGTAAGGGAAGAAATTTCGAGATCAGATATTAGGGATATAGCAGTGAAATATGTTATGAAAAATATATATTATTGGGAATAATTGATATTGCATTAATATATGCAAAATATTGGGAAAAATGAATTGAAATTTATATTTAACCTTTTGCTCTGGAGGTATGTTTTAATATCCTCAAGATTAAGTGACGAATATGAGATAATAATTATTGTAAATTATAAGTACACTGGAAGTGATTTCTCTTTTTTAATTTTGGCATAAATTAGTGAGCACTGAGTTTAGAAAAATATAAGAAAAACTTGCAATTGTTATATCTTTATAGCGAAAAAATTTTCGAGTATGGTTAAATGGTTAATTAAACGAATGGTAATAAAGGGGAGAGAGAGAGAAAGAGAGAGAAAATGATGTTTAGGACTTTGCAGGATTACAAATGAGATGAACGATGATCGTGAGCTTTGAAGAATACGAGAGTAATCTCTGAGAGTAGTACTAGGTAATCGGTTAATTATTCTTTTAATATGTCACACGAAATATATATTCTTGGAAGTAATTGTTATAATTATTCATTACCCACCTAATGAATCTAGATGAAAAAATATTGAATAAAAAGATAGCAAAAATTTTTGTAAACCACCAATAAAAATGTTTTGTGTAACGTTTAAATTACTATTCCAATTTATCACATTACCTACTGACCGATAAATATTAAAGTGAAACTATTTCTCTATAGACTATCTACTTATCGATGCTCTCAACTCGTCTTTTACCCCAAAAAACATATTCCAGAATAATTTATATTTTGAAACACTCGGTTACGCAGTAAATAATGTCACTCTGCATTACACAGATCGTCTCCCTCAGCCACGTAGCACCAGTACGGTAACAACCTGTATTGCGTTATTGCAATTAATCGAGAGGCAGGAATTTTGTCATCCTACTTTCCACGAGCCAAAAATGCGGATCAACCGGTTAATCGGTAAGCTAGCGGAAAAACGATGGAAAAACCGGTTATGAAAAACGTCTAATTTGACATCCCTATAGGGAATGTCGGAGGGTTGGTATCCATCTTTGCGCTTGGACCAATGAATGATGGCGGAAGTGGTTCGAAGTGACCGTACGTGGTCAGTCATTAAGCAGATCAGGATCGTTTTGAAACACGGTTAGGACACTTTAAAACAACTTCTCGGAACTTCTCACATCACACGCTTATTTGAGACAAAGAATCATAGGTTGCTCCTTAACACGTTGACTGTCACGTTGATCATTGGTGACCGGGGAGCTTGAACTACTTCAACATTGAATAAAAATTGACAGTTAGTGCACTTTAAATATAACTTCTAATTAGAAGATACCTTGAAATAAAAACTGCCCCATGAAATAATTAAAAATTTACATTAGAACATCAAAAACATATCAGAACAAATCTTGCAACTAGCACTCCCGTGGCGTCCCGAGCGAAACTTGTAATTTCGACGTGGCAATCGAAGAGTTAACCCTTTGTGCAGTGTTTGACACTTCGTCCTAACTGGTCCGAAGTCAGGGATTGTGGAGATTGGAGCTAATAGGGAGGAATCGTGGAAAAGGATAATGGTACTTCTGGACGATCGAATTTTTGGATGATGGAACATTGGATTTTGTGTATTTAAATCGAACACACAAGCAAATACTGGTCAACGCCAGCAGTTCGATTCAATTATGATTCAAAGCATGATTAGGGTAATATCACTCACGGTAATTAGAAATAGATGGAACGAACTTGAATGGATTGAAAACCTACCGTGACGTGTCAAAGTAGCAGTTCCTCGATCATCTATCTAATATAGTCTAATGACGTTACGACATCGATCGCGAGACTTCTGAACCCATCACAATCAGGGATCCCCGATAACCCGAACCCGGGTTTCACATTCCATCAATCAACAACTGCATCGCTATCTCGAACACATAACCAAATACTGGTGATCGCGAGCAGTTCAAACATTCCATGACTTAAATCCTGATTAGAATAATATCATTTATGGTAATCACAAATAGATAGAACGAACTTGTATGAATCGAAAACCCACCGTGACGTGTCAAGGTAGCAAGTCGATGGAGCAGTTGCTTGATCGTCTATCCAATACAGTTTAACGACGTTATGGCATCGATCGCGAGACTTCTGAACCCATCACAAACCGGGATCCCGATAACCCGAACCCGGGTTTCACATTCCACGAATCGTCATCGATAAACAGTGACCGGGTTCGAAAACCCGACGGGTTATCCAACAAAACCACTATTACGTCGGTGAAATCGGTCACGCATCCCACTTTCATTATCCATGAATCGTCATCGATAAACAGTGACCGGGTTCGAAAACCCGACAACCCGATGGGTTATCCAACAAAACCACTATTACGTCGGTGAAATCGGTCACGCATCCCACTTTCATTATCCATTCCCCGGAAAACAGTCCGAAATTCTTGCAATCACCATGCACGCGACGTCTCTGCCTCGTTTTAAACAGAAAAGAAAGAAGAAAGAGAGCCACAGCGAGGTTTCGTAACACCGATCGCGTCAGCGTGTCCTCCTAAGCCTCGCGGAAGAAGAACAGCACCGAAAGCGTGCGAGGTAACATAACTCCGCTCCAGAATGATCTCAGCCAGCCCGAGAATGATCTCACTTATCCACGCTCCCGATTACGCTCGCAATTACACCGATCTCCCATCCAGATAAGCATCGGCAACCCCATCCAGTCCAATTAAAGGAAAGACCAGTCGCCGGCCCAAGATTCACCAGGCCTTCACCGACGATCCGCAGCATCGTGATCTCGTCTTAACGACTAGCAAGCAGGCCTGTCTGTCGATCATCGGTCGGCGCGCCGGGTAACACTGCTCGGACTAGATCGAGGCTGCAGGACGAATTTACGACGGGCAGGATAAGAGGGCAGAGCGGTCGGCAAGTGGCAGGAGCGGGGAGGAAAAATAGGTCCGAACGAAACGTTCCCGAGGAGTTCGTCAGAGGCACCTACCTTTCCCGATCGGTCGAACCGGTTCGCCTTTACGACGAAACCAACAGCCGCCTCACGAGCCGTGCCGGTGACGCACCGTCGTCGTCGTTCGAGGCCTGTTCACCAAGCCGTGCACTCCGTATCCCGATAACAGCCGACGATAATCCACGTGCGACCGCATGGAACCACCACTGTCCTCACCGGATTACGTTTCGAGGCGCAACGTCCTCGAGGACGCGACCGGCGACGAGCGGAAGGACCGGGGTGGACTCGCGGATGAGGACAGGGACAAGGACGGGTGTCGAATAGAGAAAGAGAGAGAGAGAGAAAGACGAGAGGGTAGGTCGGTAGAGAAACAGAAGAGGGAAGAGAGAGAAGAGAGGAAGGGTTATCCCCGGTGGCGAGACGAGGAAGTCCTGGTTGGTGGTGCTCAGGAGTGCGTTGGCACGCGGGTGCGACGTCCCCCGTGCCTGGCTCGTTTCGTCGACATTTCCGGTTGCGCTGCGGTACCACGATAGGGGCCGGAAGTAAACACGATGCTGACCGTGTGATCGACCGAGCGTGCCCGATAGATCCGTTCACGGCGGCCGACGAGCTGAGACTGAGCGGCTCGTCCCCACGGAACGCCCGATCGCGATCTACGAGTACTACCGACGCGAGGCCACGGCCCGCGATCCTCGATGTATGCGTCGTTTCACGTACGAGTCGCGGTATACGAGTATGAGTGAGTGAGCGTACGAGCCATCGGGAGGACCGACGAGGTACTCGCGCGCGCGTCGCCGCGCGACCGAGCAGGTACGTATGCTCGCGTCGCGGGGGATTGTTCTTCGAGTCCCTCGGCGATTAATTTTCGGAATTTTTTTTTTTTTTACTTTTTGGTTTCGATGGGTTCGTGGAGGGATTTTAGGTGAGGGGGATTTTGTCGATTGCGAAAGATCGAGCAGTGTCTGTTTTTGCAGGTGCTCGGTTTTATTGTGATCGATGACGCGTGGATGATAAGTTGCACTCGTTGTTGATGTTTTTGTTTTATTTCTTACGCAAAGTATGTTATAGATGTATTTTCATTGTGCTGCAAGTGTGGCTTTCTTTTGTGTTTAGAATGGGAGAACGGTGAATAATAAATTCGTTTACGTACGTTGGTGGGAATTATCTTTGCGAATTTCTTTTTATACTTTTAAGGTAAAAGAATAATTAATCGTGAGTTAAATTAGGATGATATTTTAGAATTATACTAATGTATTTTCTTATACGTTTAGAATGGCAATATAGTGAATAATAAATTAGATATTAGCTTCGTAGTTTGAAATTATTTCAGCTTCGATTAAAATTATTTTTTATTACGAATATATAGATTATTATAACTATTGGTTGGAGTGGGAGGATAATTAATAGTGAATTAAATTAGGGTGATATTTTAGAATTATCCTACTATATCTTTTTATATGTTTAGAGTGGCAGTATAATGAATAATAAATTGAATATTAGCTTCATATTTTCAATTATTTTAGCTGTAAATAAAATTGTTTTATTATTATTATTTCAGTGCTTTTCTTTACACACTTTTGTAATAAAATTATAGCGAATAGCAGATTGGTCTAATAGGTGAATTTTTAAATTAAAATTAACTTAGGGTAGCGATTTTCATATATGTATATTTACGTTAAATATATTGTATTTGTGTTTCTTATAATAACAATGATTAGATTATAAATAAAATTTAGATATTAATATTGGAATTATTTTGAAATAATTTTATCAGACACTTTGGGCATTAAACCGATATTAAATGACGATTTATACCAATAAGTAACAATATGTAAATTATTTACAAATACTTTTATTTAAGAAATCTTATTATCGCGAAGCTTTTACCGATAACTAGAATAATTACCGAACTAATTACCAATAAAATTCGACAAATTTCCACCTTTTCCTACAGTTTTATCCATATTTGTCATACAAAAATTTCTGGGTACATTTTCAAAGGAGAATACCGCGATTCTATTTGGTCACGAAGGAACAATGACTCGGTATTTCGGTAGCACGCGCTTGTTAAGCTTCCTGCGACGAAAACGTGTGGTAGGGTCAAAGAACCTGCGATCATTAATCATCTTCCTATCACCTACGACGCTCGAGGATCGAAGACCGTTTCTAAATTCGCTTCCTCGAAGGATCGCGAAAAATTATCCGTCTTCGCGAAAAATCTCACCATCGGTAGTACCTTTTCTTCGTTGCGGAGAAACGGGGAGAGAAAATTCGCCAAAAGCACCGTGTTTCGTACCACGTAATACCGCGAGTCCTGTGTATTTTTTCGCACACGTGTAACAAAAATTAGTAGCTACTTAGCGAGTCTGCTTCTCCAACGTATTAATAGACCGGCGTGTACTCCGTTTCGGATAAAACAAACACTCGGACAGAAGGAACATCTTGTTGCTCGGTTAATTCTGTCCAGCACTATCCCACGTTTCCACTATTTAAACACCGTGTTCCCTTCAGCTTCTCTCATCCACACCACGGTTCACTTCAAATTTATCGCCCCGAAATTCACTCGAGGTCCGCTGTAAAAGTCACACCTGAGAGAAACGAGATTTCGAATGGTGAAATTTTTGAAATATTTTTCAGATCATTTTTTAACAAGATGCTTTAGCGAACGTGGAATGATTAAACGACGTATCATTGATTTATCATTTTTCGTTGGTTTAAGAATCACACCGGATATTTATTTTATTTTGATTTTGGATGGCTGAATTTCCTAGATCGCGAAATTATTTTTTGGGAACACATGTTTAAGAGGATGGAGAACGGCTGAGAAATTTTTTCCAAATTTACCACTGAGGATTCACTCGAAATTCTGTTCGAAAATTGCACTGGAAATGCGATTTTAGACAGTACAGGTTTTAAAGTGGAGAAATAATTTTCCCCAAATTGGAATAGATTTGTTTCAAATTTATCACTTCAAATTCACTGAAAATTTGCTTCGAACGATGCACTGGAAGGTCAGTGTTGGACGATAGAAATTTCCAAGTTGCGAAATAATATTTTCAAAATAGAATAATAGAAGGATCTTTCCCAAATTTATCAGTTCAAATCCACTGAAAATTCGCTGAGAACGTTGCACTGGAAGTTCAATTATGGACGATAGAAATTTCCAAGTGGCGAAATAATTTTCTCAAAATAAAATAATAGAAGTATCTTTCCCAAATTTATCACTTCAAATCCACTGAAAATTCGCTGAGAACGTTGCACTGGAAGTTCAATTATGGACGATAGAAATTTCCAAGTGGCGAAATAATTTTCTCAAAATAAAATAATAGAAGTATCTTTCCCAAATTTATCACTTCAAATCCACTGAAAATTCGCTGAAAATGTTGCATTGGAAGTTTAATTCTGGACGACAGAAATTTCCAAGTTGCGAAATAATATTTTCAAAATAGAATAATAGAAGGATTTTTCCCAAATTTATCACTTCAAATCCACTGAAAATTCGCTGAGAACGTTGCACTGGAAGTTCAATTATGGACGATAGAAATTTCCAAGTGGCGAAATAATTTTCTCAAAATAAAATAATAGAAGTATCTTTCCCAAATTTATCACTTCAAATCCACTGAATATTCGCTGAGAACGTTGCATTGGAAGTTTAATTCTGGACGATAGAAATTCCCAAGTTGCGAAATAATTTTTGCAAAATAGAATAATACAAGGATTTTTCCCAAATTTATCATTTCAAAACCACTGAAAATTCGCTCGGTACATTGCACAGGAAGTTCAGTTCTGGACGCTAGAAATTTCCAAGTTGCGAAATAATATTTTCGCGAGAGACGTCGCGAACAAAGAATGACCGCAGGATTTCCATCGATCGTTGATCGAAGGCAAATGTGATTCACCTAGACTGACGAACGATAAGGGAAACCTTCGACTCTTATGTCAGATCACTAAACGATAAGGATTATCGACGTTACCGGGAATTTCGCGATTTTTTCACGCGAACTCGACCAACCACGTCGCTTGTACGGCACTGTAAACCGAGCATCCGTGTGTGCATCGAGCACACGTACGATTGCACTCACGAACACACGTGGAGACACGTACACGTGACTGAGAGTCAGCCAATGAGTCACCTCTCGCTGCTAATGCGCGCGCGCGAGCACACGCGAAGCTTTCTTTCTTTCTTTCCTTTTTTTCGGCAGGATTGATCGCGAATTTTCCATTGATAATACCGATATCGCGAAAATAATCGCGTCAGGTAGTCGACCATTTAATCGTCTCGATCCAGCAGGGTGTTAACCCCGTCGCGTGAAACCCTCCACCGAGCCAACTTGCAGAAATTGCCAGGTTTATTGCGATTCCGGGAAACAGGGGGTTGGAATCGAAGAATTAGAAGATTGGAAATTTCTCTGGAATATATTCCGCAGTTTATGCAGTCGTAAAGTGAAATATTTGTTTCACGAAATTGTAGAAATGGTAGAAATTGTAAAATTGGTTGTCCTTGCAATTTTAGCAATAATTCGGAAAATTCTTTCGCAAATTGTTCTTTCGTAATATTGTCGAAATTGCAGGTATTATTATTCGCGTGTGCTTCGTGCAGAAAATAAAAAATTTCGTTATAACCATCCCTATAATTTTGGAGGAATGGTTACTCGAGAGTGCTTCGTACAGAAGGTAAATTTGCACACGATCTTCTCAATAATTCGAGAAATCGTTTAACCTTCAATTGGTGACGTACTTCTTTGCTGTAGTGTATGTAGTATATTTGCTATATGTTATTTACTACATGTATATGTGATGTTGTTATATTAATTATATTACGATAATTTATAAACAAAAAGTATATTTTTATTTGTAATTGAAGTGAAATTTATTTTTGTTTTTCATTTTTGTCGTGCTTCGCTAAAATATGGTGTCAATTTGACGTCATGTCACCAGTTGGAAGTTCACAAGTTGTGCTACCACAAAATTGTCAAAGTTGCAAAAATAATTATTCGCGAATGCTGTATACAATAAATAATAAATTTCGTGATAACCTCCCCTATAATTTTAGAAGAATTGTTAGTCGAGAATACTTTGTACAAAGGGTAAAAAATTTTTGCACAATCTTCTCATTGATACGAAAAATCATTTGACAAGTCGTGTTCCCACAAAATTGTGAAAGTTGCAAAAATAATTATTCGCAAATACTGTATACAGCAAATAACAAATTTCACGATAACCATGTCTATAATTTTGGAAGAATTGTTATTAGAGAATGCTTCGTATAGAAGGTAAAATATTTTCGCACAATCTTCTCAATGATTCGAAAAATCATTTGACAGATTGTGCTCCCACCAAATTGTCAAAGCTGCAAAAATAATAATTCTCAAATGCTTTGCACAATAAATAAAAAATTTCACAATCTCCCCTACAATTTCAAAAGAATTGTTAATCGAAAATGCTTCGTACAAAGGATAAATAATTTTTGCACAATTTCCTTAATGATTCGGAAAATTATTTAACAGGTGGTGCTCCCACAAAATTGTCAAAGCTGCAAGAATAATTATTCGCGAATGCCTTGCACAATAAATAATAAATTTCATGATAACCTCCCCTATAATTTTGGAAGAATTGTTATTCGAGAATGTTTTGTACAAAGGGTAACAAATTTTCGCATCTTCTCAATGATTCGAAAAATTATTTGACAGTTCGTGCTCCCGCAAAATTGTCAAAACCACAAAAATAATTATTCGCAAATGCAGTGTGCGATAAATAAAATAATTTTCCAATAATCTCCGTAATTTTAAGAAAATTATTTCTCGCGACTGCTTCATAGAGAAAATGAAAAATTTTCGTGCGATCTTTTCAATGATTCCAAAAATCATTTGACAAAAATCATTACTCCCACAAACTTGTCGAAACTGCAGAAAGAATTACATGCAAATACTTTACGTAAGAAATGAAAAATTTTCGTAGAACTTGCTGCATAATTCCTAGAATCTTAAAACGACTCGTTCATCGACAAAATGGCCGACGCTGCAAAAGAACTCGATCACTTAAAAAGTGCTTGGAGGAGAATTTAAAGAAATTGCAGCACCTTGCAGCGGTCATCGAATTCTTCGAAGTTACATCGCAAGCGTAATTCGCGTAATTTCGCGCTGATGTTTGAAAA